CCCCAAAACCCCAAAACCCCAAAACCCCTTAGTCACGAATATAGTATGGAAGTAGATAATCTAATTAATAATATATAATTTTAAAAGTTGCAAATATAATAAGCATACTAATGCAATATTTAAAAGAGAAAATTAGTTTCGCATCTATTCCTAAAGGACTGGGTTTTAAGAATAATAAAGCTTAAAATTGTAATTCTAATAACACCCAAAAATAAAGTTAATTAGACGAGTAATCTATTGATCAGACTTTTTACGACTGCGTTGAAAAGATTGAGGAATCGAAAGATCAAACATTTTACGATTGTACCGATGACAACCGATAATTATAGATGTTTAAAGTCCATCAAAAAGGCGAAAATATGCAAAATAATCGAATCAGCTAGGAAGAACTTCGAAATTAATACAACTTTTCCTTTGCTCCAGAAAATTCAAAAAGCCCTAAGAAACACTCCACAAACTTAAGAATCACAACCTACAACGAGTTTTCTCCAAAAGATCCCAGGAAAGAAGTGCTCAGCGTTCGATAGTCCTCCGATAATTCCTAAATTTAGAAATCTAAAGATGATAGTGAAGTCAGAAACAACTAAGGCTCTGTAAGAAGCAATTAATCATAAAGTTTCAATTTTAATTCAAACTAATTAAAATCAACATAGGAGGAGATTGCTAGTAACTTAAAGCGCATAATTTATGAGTGCGAGGAGAATCTCAAAAAATTAGAAAGTCACAAATCAAATAGTAACAGTGATCATGCTGCTGCTAATTCATCAAATAGTCATTCCTAGTTAGATTAAGGATTTTGGTAGCCTAGTAATGATCAAATTTCAATTACTATCAATAATAACAATCCTTCTAGTTAGAATATTGATATTTCATCTTCAATTCTGAGCAATAGTTAATCATAAATCATCAAAGTCAAGCCATTAAAGAAGGAAGTTTCATAGCGTAGGAATTCAGAAGACGATGATTTTTTTGTCATAAATAAGAATCAAGATTCTTTATTGTAACCACAAATAAATAACTTATTAAATAGCCAAGGAGGCTAGGAACAAAGTCTGAATACTTTCGTAAGAAAGCGTAGTAGTAATAAAGATAATTTTGAAGTAACTCTTAGCAGCAAAATGCCATCTTAGAATTAAAGTCTAAACTTAAGTGATAAGTAAAATGCTTTGGAAAATTTTGAAAAAAATCTGTCCACAAAATTTCCAGGTTTATTCCAAGATTTTTCCACAAATTAAGATATTTCTTGTATCCCCAAGTCTATGAGTGGTATACATTATGTTGAGCCTTCATCACTTTCAATATTTAAAACAATAAGCTTCAATTCTGGCAAAGATAATACTTAGAATAGCAGCCTTAATTAGAAATAAGCTGCAAGTTCAAATAGTAGTAGCAAATCGAGTGTTCTGCCTATTCCTAAAGAGAGAACAAAACTTTAGAATAAAACTTACCATGAACTCAATAACCTAATTCAAGTTTAGGAAATAAAATGTGGAAATGATGCAATCTGGGTGATTAAATTCAGGTCAGATGGGCTCTATATGGCCACAGGTGGCAAGGACGGTATTCTTAGAGTATGGAAATGCTGTCAAAGCTCCAAGGAACTAAGTAAGCAAATATCATATTAAATATTATCTAATGACGTGTATTTATAGATTAGAGACAAACAATTAACCCTGTTCCAATAAGAGAATATACCAGTGTACATTAATCTGATATCTTTGATGTTAATTGGAGCACAAAACACTTGAACATTATTCTAAGCGCTAGTTCTGATTTCAACGTCTTGATATACAATATAAATCATGAGAAACCTTTGAAAGTCTTACAGCATCCTGATATAGTCTCATCAGCATGCTTTAACATAAATGTAATATAAATTAAATTTTAGATATTATAGTCAGATAATCTATTAGCGAGCGGCTGTTTCGACAAGTTTGTCAGAGTTTGGGACATAAAAAATAAAAAGGTTAAAGACTGGTAATAAACTTCATGCTATATTACAGCTATCAAGTATACTAACTGTGGTGAAAGACTTTATGTTGGACTTGTGAATGGTGACGTAGTGATATATGATTCAACTTAAGAGCAACTTAGACCATTAAGAATTGTTGAATGTAAAAACAAGCGTGGGAAATTTTCAAAAGGTAGAAAAGTGACATCTATTGACTTTCTCACTGTTAATATTGCAATGATTACAAACAACGATTCAAGAATAAGATTCATAGATGCTAGGGTAAGCATTACTACTTATTTAATTTAAATAGAATGGAAAGTAAATTTATAAGATTAAAGCTCATAAGAATGAAAGTTTTCCGATCAAAGCAAGTATTTCTGATGACTTTTCCCATGTTATTTGTGGTTCAGAGGATGGTGATCTCTATTTATGGAGCTAGATTCAAAATACTGTTATTCAAATGAGCAAGACTAGTCTAATAGGCAAGTTACTCCTAAAAGATAAAACAAACTCATGTGAATACTTCACTCCTTACTGTAAAAGCTAGCCAGTGACTGCCGCAGTCTTTGCACCAGAGCAGGTAAAACTTATTCAAATGAAGAGATACTTTAAGAATGTCCTGGAGGACAAAATGATTAACATGATAATGGTAATGGGCAATATAAATGGTCTTATAAAGATCTTTCACAATGAAACAAGTTGTACCTCTCCTAATATTTCACCAAGAACTAACAAAAAGTTTAATAGACTTACATATTGAATTACTAAAAACTATAAATAAAGATATGACATTGAGTAATATGAGTAAAAATAGTATAGAATTGAAACTCAGGACATGCATTGAGGATCAACTGATTGTAATTTATGATTAGAATATGATTTTTGTTTTCTTAACTTTATTCACATTATCTCTTAAATTTTAATCAAGTCTATGCAAAAAGGTTATATCATGTAATTCTATAACTCTTTTTAGAACTTACTGGTTAATACAATATATTGGAAATTTATAGTTAACTTAACACTAAAACACTTTGAATGTTTAGAAATATTAAACTAATCAATCTCTATAGGCATTAAAGTGAGAATATCCCTTAATAACTTAAATTCACAAAGTAAGTCATTCACAACACTTAGACTTTTTCTTCTTTTTATCAGATTATTTTGTGTCTGGGTTTTAAGTTAATTTTACACCTGGCTATTTAACAGAGCTTGCCTTAGTTGATCCTTATGTCTTTGAGTCATCTCCTTATGCTCCACCAGTTTTGGTTTTATCAGACTATCTTGAGTACTGGGAATCTTCATCTTCCTAAGGATTCGTGCTGATGACTTTATAGATCTCTAAATAATTTAATTTGAAAAATTGTTACCATTAATAATTCTATCAAAGGCTAAATCTACATTTGAGCAATCAAGGGCAGAAGTTTCAATAAAAGCAAGGCTATGCTAATCAGCATATTGTGCTGCATCTTCCTTTTTAACTTCTCTCTTGTCCTTGAGATCAGTTTTATTCCCGACCAACAAGATTACTATATTACTGTCTGCATATTATTTCAGTTCCTTTAGCCAGTTTGCAACATGTTAAAAGCTTTGCATCGAAGTCACATCATAAACTAATAACGCTCCTACTGCTCCTCTGTAATAAGCATTCGTTATAGCTCTATATCTCTCCTAACCAGCAGTATCCCAAATCTAGGCCTTAATGACTTTTTTGTCTTATGTTTTGATAGATTTAGTAGCAAACTCCACTCCTATGGTAGTCTTTGACTCAATATTGAAGTCTCCTTTTGTGTAGCGCATTAGTAGATTACTCTTGCCAACACCAGAGTCCCCAATCATTACTACTTTAAACAGATAGTCATAGACCTCTTCATCTCTAGTTGCCATTAAAATGCTTATTCGACTAATTTAATATTATTTAAATTTAATTTTTTATCTTTGAATTAAACTACTCGATTATTTCTAATTTTTTAATCTAATGGGGTTTTGGGGTTTTGGGGTTTTGGGG